GTCGGCGACTGCGGCAGAAATGCTGCTTCGCGAGCTGCTGCGTTCGTTCGTGGGGGCGAGGAGCAGGAAAAAAAAAATTATTCGTCGGGAAAATATTTTAGCCTCGGAAACGGCCGATTGAAATGAAATTTCAATCTGGAGAGGGAAAAGGGGGATCGGCAATGATAGTATAAATATTAAATATTTTAAAATGAACTTAAATTATCAATAAATACTTTATAAAAAGTTAAGCTATATAAAAATAAACTTAAAGCAAATAAAAAATGAACTTGAACAAGTGGTACTCAAACTTATTAACTTATTGAGCCGGGGATCGCATCCGGACGCGACCAACCTTACACGGGCAGCGCTGACAAAAAAGAGGTTTACTGGTATTAATTATTATAATGAAAAAAAAAAAACCTTACTGGAAAGGACATTTCATCTTCGCGGTTCGAGTATCACTGCTTTTCACGAAAATTGAATTGAGTTATTAGAGTCTGGATAATTAATGTTTTCGCTGATTCGTTAATTACGGGGGCGCTTTTATTTTGCTTACATTGCTCTATCTTTTCGTGGAAGTAATCATTTTCACGAAAAATTTTTCATATTTCATCAGATAAAAAATAATAATCGTGTCGCCCACCCCCCAAGTGAGGTCGTTCCACACTCAAAAGATAATCGCAGGAATGGGAGGTAATCATTGCTGCGATGCTTACAACGCAACGGAACAAATGGATCACCTTTTTTTTTGGGGGGGGGGGGGATGTATCAATGGTTTACATCAGCTTCACATGCATTGTCGATTCTTCCATTATTCAGATAACAGGGGGGATGGGTGCTCTCTCCGCTGAGAACCAATACGGGAAGCAGGAATTGAGGGGGGGGGGGGACGAGGAGGGCGAGACGCAGTGTTTCGCCCACGCTCGGAGGAAGTCAGCGCGAATCGACGGGACATCCTTCGAGACCGGCTGAATGAGACATCGACGGATGGCACCGTGCTTTTCCGACTCATTTAGGGTCGATGGAGAAGGGAGGAGGGAAGACGAATCGAGTCGAGCCGTACTCGATTCGCATCTCGGGATGAGGCCACGCTTGCCTGCTTCGGGGGAGGGGGAGGGGGGGGGGGCGAGCCGATACGATCTTGGGATTCTTCGGAGGGCCATTGTGTTCGGGGGTCGCGTCCCTGGGGGCGCTTTCATGGCGGGGCTGCCGGGGGAACGCGAGGTGTCGAGACGATGCGAGGCTTTCGTGATGTATGGGCGAGGGGGAAATGCGTCGCCGTGGGGATTTCTCGGGCGTTAGATTAGACTTTTTTCCTTTCTCTCTGAAACACTTTCTGAAAGTTTTTATTTACGTCGAAGAAGCGAGAGCTTTTTTTTTTCTTTTTAATGGGACAGGTAACGAACGTTTTTCAGTTATAGCACACAGGGAGTGCCTGCTTGCTACCGACAACAGTAGCGTGCCCAGAAAATCCCAATGTTGACACGAACAATTGGTAACCCACCCTGCATTTATGGCCAAATTAACATTTTTGAGAATCGAACCAATAAAATGTATCCCAAAGGGGGGTTGTGACCTCCACAACCCCCTGACAACTGTTACCTTAGCCCCTTCACGGTCCTGTAGGTGGCTTAGGAATGGCCCACGGATTGCCGACCATGACTAGCCAGTGGCGTAGCCAGGATTTCGCCAATGAGGGGGCTTACTTCTCCTCGCCCGGTGGGGGGCGGGTGGCGGATGCATTTAGACCGGAGTTGGGGGGCTTGAACCAAACATGGGGGGGCTGAACCCCCCCCAGCCCCCCTCGCTACGCCACTGTGACTAGCACGAGTGACTTTTAAGGTATACTGCACCCAACTCTTCTGGACGTGGAGCACGGAGGAACGTGTTAGCTCACCGATCCCGGCGACCTACTGTTGGTGTCGCGTTGGAGTTAAATATAGGGAGCTTTTATATGTTCCCGAACCATTCCTTTCCTCTTTATCTTTGGTTGCCATAATCCTCTCCGTGCCGAAGGCGGATCTCATCCGTCTGCCCATTCCGAACTCGATTTGGCAATGCTCAGCTGACAGTGTTGGCAGTGATCCAGTCACGGAGCCAGCCACATGTTCGGTCATGGTGCGAGTTGATTCATCGTGATCCGGCAGCAGCAATCGGCAAATCATCCAGCACGGAAAGGGAGATGGAATTCATGGAAACAACGTCCTCACGAAGGCGTCTGATGACCAGCGAATGCGAATCCAGGTGATCATCAGGAGTCACACGATGTAATTAGAAGGATTCTAGATAAGAATACGGATAAAAGCTCTGACGTCGGAGCGTTTCAAATCTTTAATGCGCCCTTTCAGACCTGAATTAGGCCACTACCGGAATTATATATATATGTGTTTCATTTTTGAGCTCTTTCCCTATTCTGCATTGAATTTTTATGTTCCAGCGGCGTAGCAACCCGGCCCCCCCCCCCCCCACGTTTCAAAAAAAAAAAAGCCACAAAAAAGGAAAAGACCCAGAAATGCATGTATCCCACTATCCCAGAATTCACGTGCTCCCCCCCTCCCCCTACACTGTCCTGTGCTCAGTGCCGTAACAAGGGGGTATGCAAGCGGTGCTCCCACACAGGGTGCCGAATTGAGGGGGGCGCCTGTTGGCTGCTGAATTATTACAAAAATGCCATACAAATTGTACAAATTCATCGTAATTACTTGAAACAAAACTATATAAATTCTACGTTAATTTTTCACTTCAGATGAGAAGTGAATTATGATTTTCCAATACGAAATGAAAATTTCGCCCCCTCCTCCTCCAAGATTAATTTTCTACAAGCGCCCACTAAATGGACCACACATCTCTTCAGTTGAAGCTAGGGGCAGTCATCACAAAAAAGTGTTTCGCGTAATCGAGGACCAAAAGTTTGCCGTAGTTAAGAAATTTTCGTTAGTGAAAATGAATCTGTGAATCGACTGTAATACTTCCATTAATGCTGTCATAGATGAGATTTCACTTTCAAATGCATTGTTCTTCATAATATGTTTTGTATAAAAGAAAATAATAATAATACCGTATATGATCAAACATAGGTTCAAGAAGATTGTATGCTCCAGAAGACTGGCAAATAGAATAAGTCAGTAAGTTGAAGTCATAGGTCACAGACGTTTTGAATTTTTCTTCGCGAAAGATCAGCAAATTCATTTTTCTAAAAATGGCATACACATTTGCTAATTTTTCTACTCATGATCTCATGATCAGTATCATGAGAACTACGCCTGTGAATGGACGTTCTTCTAACTGTTCTGTACATCTAATTAGAAATAGAAATCTAGCATTTTTGAAAAGGTAAGAGATCGCTTTATTCCAAGGCTGTCAATTGATTAGGTTCATTAACAGAATCATCGCTTTAATTTCTAATTGCGATTAAAATAATTAGTCGAAATTAAACGAATTTGAACAGACCCTCCAAAATCTCCCCCTGAATACCTCTTTCTTCTCTTAAAATTTTTACTAGAAGTGCGTAGTCTTGTAAAACAACCGAAAAAGAATGCTGTCAAGGAGATGAAATGAAATGATGACTTTTAAAAGGTTGTCGTTTTTGCACTGCTCACTCTGTAGCAAAAATGACCTATTTTTGTTTAAAGGAAACAGAAACAAAGCCATCGCTTTCAGCATGCTGTATGAGGAAATGGAAACGAAATTCGAAATGAAGAAATTGCTAGGAAACGCACAGACGGAATAGGAGATTTGGATGAGGATAAAATGTGGTAGGAACGGCAAAAAAGAAGATAGTGGCGAGGCTGGGGAGTGAGAGGCAGAGCCGTACCCAGGGGGCTCCGAGCGGTGCACCCACACAGGGTGCCGATTGTCTGCCAAATCACTATAAAACATGAATGAAACTATAAAATAAGGGCAAATTATACTGAATTTAACTAAACATAGAAACATAATTAATACGTAATGCTGATGCTGGAGAATCTGGGGAGGTATAGAGGGAGGGCGGATGGCTTGATATCTCATACAGGGCGCCAAATATCCTCGGTATGGCACTGCCTGTGCCCCCTCACTTTTTTCATCCACGCTACGCTTATGTTATGTTCTATATATCATTGTTATATTTTGTTTAAATTTATCATACCATACCAAATATTGTATGTTATACATGTAATTGCATAAATGAAGATTACAAATCTGATTGGTGAGAGTGCCTTAGACAGAATCGAGTCATTCATAATTGAGTTCATTATAGTATAATATGGAGTGCAAAGTCATGAGAATCCCAAGAAACTACCATAGAAACAATGAAAATGCAAGGTCTATTGGAATGGATGCCAGGTGTGAAAGGGTTGAAGTGTCGATATTTCATCAATATCACACTATATAGAATGACCGTACTCTGACCAACGTGGTCTTTTTGAAACTCACATTAATATGTGCCACAGCAATGTCAGTACCACCTCAGGCCAAGCAGGAGCCCACAGTTCCCATGTGATCCGAGAGAAATGAAACAAGTGTAGGAAAAAATAACATTTGTTCATCACTGGCACAAATCTTGTATCTCTCAAGTGAAATAAATTGAACTGGGCAGAGCTTGGTGTAATAAATGATGATTGACCAACTCAATGCAAGTTATTTCCATTCAAACATGGCACTTGAAAAGACAGAATCCTTGGAAAGGATCCAATGAAGTCTGCTTCAGTTATGCCTGCATAATGGGACAATAATAGCAGAAGATTCTTGTTGCTGAATGCACAGGTCAGTCAATGAAATCCACATAGGAATGTATTGTACTGCCACTTCTGATGATTCAATTCTTCCTGCACCATTGAATGCACCAACAGAACTACAGAATGCTTCTTCATGGAAAAGCATATTTGTACATGAGGAGCACAGCGATAAAAGACATTCAGAGAAAGCACACTGAAACAAAACAAAATCCAATGCATCACTAATCAAATAAGAGAAAGTGATATCCAAAAGGACAATTAATTAACAGAAACAAATAACAGTTACATTTTAAAAAAGAAATCCTGAAAAATACAGTAGCTGTCAATTGCCATTGAAATGGCTGAATCCTCCTTGAAGAATGACTGAGTCACATGAGTGGATTGAGATCAACTTCACCAATGGGCTGAATGCTCAGGATGCTCTTCTCCTCAATGCATACTTGCCCTGCTCCAATTCTGACAATTGGATCCTCAATTTCTGATTATTGTTCTGTGTCTTCTTCACCCAGATCTGCATGAAGATGAACATGAAATGTTACATAGCTCCATTCACATGTCTTGCACATGCATCACAGATAAGGCAAACAGTATTTAATCAGATGAAAAAGGAAAATTTGTAATAAGACAGAATATCCTCAATTACCCATTTCACTTCCAGCCCATACATGTGATTATACGATTCTGGCACAAGAGAATGTGCCTACTTTTCATTTTCCTTCCTGTTGTTTTACCCCATGACATTGTCACATGTGTCAGGCTGAAGGGTTCAGAGTTCATCCAACTAGTACAGGGTACTTCAAAATTGAATTCACAGCTTTTAATAATGCAGTGAAAGCATGAAAAAAACATGCTCATCTATAGATATTCAGTCATAGATATGAATAAATTAGAAATTTTACTTATTAGATCTTACACTTAAAAGGTCCACACAAAATAGCTTGCAAACACAGGGCAACAGCAATTTTTGAAGACATAAGTGATTGCAGTCTGGAGGCGATGCAACTCACCATATCTGTGCGGATGACTGAGATGATGCCAGCTATCTTACTCCCTTTCTTCGTTTCAACATAGACTGACTGACCCCTCCGATACCTGGAGAGAAAATAACAGTCCGTTAGTGCTTGCAACAGCAACAACTCATTCTAGGGTTGGAGAAAATTATTTATTTTTGTGGACAATTTACCAAGAGCTCTCATGAAAGAATGCACAGCCATACACAATGAAAGAAACAAACCATTTCTTGTCATAGAACAGTTTTCCATCTTCAATTCTCACATCTCCATTGAAATGATCTCCATAGTCAGAATTGGAACCTGCAGATAAAAATTTTAACCTCTCTGAACAATTACCCTCTGATAGTCTCACAATGATGTTCAAGCAATCCCACCTTTTGTCACAGGCTGGGCAGTTGAGGTGAGAGAGGAGGCAGTGTTGGGTGAGATGCACTTCAAGTCCTCAGCCACATTGTCTTTTTCAAGCAGGTAAAATATCTGCCTTGGAGCTGGTTTTCTTCTCTTTTCAAACTGAGGGGGCTGCTCATTTGGCCGTCTTCGTAATTTCCGTGTTGAAATTGTCTTCATCTGAAATGACAGGATTGGGAAATGATTCTTTCCAGCTTTGAGGGAAAAAAGCACATCCTTTGGGATTGGTTGAATGATTTAAATAATTGAAAATTCAAATTAAATACAGGATTATATTTAAAGCATTATACCATATAAATATGCTACAACTGTCACATCCATTAAGTTAGAAACAGGAAAATTGGCAATGGTCATGAGCACACATGGAAAACTCATTCACACCATATTGCAGCAATCTGGCAACATCATGACATGGAGCATACCTAAAGCTGAGAGTCTTGGTTGTGAAATGTATCCATCAATGCAGAAATACAATGGTTACTGCACTGCAAGTTTCATAAGGAAAATGGGACACATGTAATGCACAGGAAGGAGACCATTCCGAGGTTGGCGAAACAATTCCAAATCATGTAACTATTTTCTGTGAAGCTGTTTAAAGGCTCGAGTGCCTCTATGTCACTCAAACAAAACTGTGTGTTAAAAGAATATCTAGTGGGGAAGACTTTCAACATTTCTTGATGAAGTGGTGCAGGCAGTCTTAAGCAATTGTGTCTTGTGCCTGACATGTTAATGAACAAAGAAGTGAACATATCAAACACATCCTTCATTCACCAATCTCCCATTATGCCCATTACTTTTGCCAATTTTCCCATTGAGCTTTAGCAATACATCAGCTATGCCATTTTTAAATGGTATGATGTTTAAAAAATCACTCTATACAATTGCAGGTGTACAGTATTTGCCTCAACTTACATTCCTTGTGATGTCTCTATGTGTTCATCATGATCAAAGGTAAAATTATTTGTGAAGGGAAGACTTGGTATTTAACCAGATTTAGAATGTTATCTTTTCCCAAGGTAAGCTATGAACAGGAACATGAAATCACATCAGATGGCAATGGAAATTAAATGGAAAATAGGAATAATATATTTCTCATTGCTTTCAATGCAATAAAGATTATCATTACCTCCATTGAGTCTCCAGTCAATTCCATGGAAGTTCGCTCCTTCTCAATTACTTTCTTCTTGCATTCTAGGTCAGTGATTAATTGTTCCCTCAATTCAACCTTCTTCTCCTGTAAAGGGACAAGTGTTTAATAAAAGTTCATAATATGCCATTTGTAAATAAGAGAGATTTTCATAAACAACATACCTCAAAGTCTCTGTTTCCTGCTCTCTTTTCTTCCATATACTCCCGTTCAATCTGATGAGTCTCAAACTCATACCAGAGGTCATTATGTAATATCCTAAGAAAGTTTTCATTTGGTTAGAAAGAAAGATCACAATGGAACTAGTGCTATCACTATGGATAATTTCACTGGACAGCAATGGGCTGATCCTGAATGGAAATTAGATTTGAAACACATGGCATATTTCATTACAGGATTCAAGATTAATGAAGTGTTTAAAATAAATAGTGAATTCATGCTAATTTGGATACAGAATGCACATAGTCATACTGAAAATGACTCTAGATTGAAAGCAGTTTCATAATCTGCATCATTAGAATTTGAGAAACATGAAATCAAGATTCAGAATTGAAGCCAAAGGCATTTGATTTTGTATCAGAATTCACACATTATTAATGCAGGAAAAAGAAACTATCTGACCTCTCATCATAATCTTCCTCTAGCTTCTTCAGCCTCTGGGAATACTCAGGGTGAGTACCATTTTCCAGTTGCTGCAGTTGGGCATGGAGTGATCCCAACTTCTCTTGATATATCCTGCAAAGAATTATAATTCCCTGTTTAACAGGGACAAAGAGCAACCATTCCTTCCACAATCATATTACATCCTGAACTCCCTCTCACATGTTTAATCAGAGGGATGAGGCAAAAATTCAACTTCATTCAAATTCAAAAGAACTCATCTGCCTCATGAAAAATTTAATGAAAACAGAACTTACTGGTCTTTGATGTCTAGATGATCCGAATCTAGAGAAAACATTCTCTCCCCTGAGTCTGAGCCTAGAGGTAAAATATCAGAGTGAGGCAAATAATGTTAAGAACAGGACAATCAATCAAAGGCACCCTTCAATGGCAAGATACCGACCTTGATTTGTACATTTGTGAGCCCTTTTCTCAATCTTGGCAGGGTTACTGGAGGACAATGGAGGGCATGAGTCATGAGTCATGGCTCAATATGCCTTCACTATCTTCCTTCTACCCAGAGAACCTGATTAACCATACCATTCTTCATAAATGTTCAAATTCAGAGCACAATATCATTGATGCTGTTTAGTCTAGCTGAGCAAAACATACCAGTGTGCTCCTGCACAAATGCAAACAATGACTCAAATAATGTCCCAATGTTAATACACCTATTTTCCTTTCAGCATTCATCAAATCTGATTAATGGAAAATCTGCAAGAATGATATGGCCCTCTTCACTCACACCACATACAATCCAAGGTCGTTCTGGGGGTATAATTCATGAGTAACCATGCCTATACAATTTTTTGAATACATCATGTGTAGAAAACAACAACATGAAACACATATGCATGGCTTCTCTTGCACTTAGCATTTTCAATGTTTTTAATAGAGAAAATTTTACCCTTTCAGACCCAGCATCCATTCCACTGGACATTGCATTTTTATTGAGTCTATGGTAATTCCTTGGGATTTTTGTGACTTTGCACCCCACATTACTCTAGAATGGGTGCAATTATGCATGAGTCAATTCCATCGGAGGCCTTCTCTCACCCGTCAGCTTTGTATTCTTCAGTTATGTAATTAAATATATAATATATAGTATGTTATGGTAAATTTATACAAAATATAAATATGATATATAGAACATAAAAAGTTAAAGTAGATTAGCAAGAGCTCAAAAATGCAAAAAAGTACATGATTCCAATTGTGGCCTTAATTCTGGTCTGAAAGGGTTAAGTAAGCGTTGGTTTCATTCATGATGCAGTCCATGAAATCAGGCAATGTTATGTCCAAGGGGCTTCTCACCCATTGCAATATTAGTACTTAATCTTGTCTGCAAAGGAAGCAAATTCTTCGTATCAAGATCCCAATAGCCTCGTTTTGCAATGAGATGCCATGGATATCTACTGGAGACAATTGACATCACACATAAACACTATTAAAAAATTCATGACCAAAGAATGAATATTTATAACAATGTCACAGCTGAATCCTTGCTTCCCTGTTTTTTTTTTCCTCCCTATCTGAAGAACCATGTAACTTTAAGAGAATCATAACCATGAAATAAAAAAATGGACTTGGAAGTGAGGGAGTAAACAAATCATAAAATGTTTCAGTTGGAGTGAACAAGATATGGACATCATGGGTTTGTTGTACAGCATTTACTTTACTCCCTGATAAGTGAAAACTGGCTTTGTTGAGTTTAACCTTGATTTCTGGGAAGATGTGATTCTTTGTGATGAGGAAACATGGCCGTACTGAGCTTTGAGGACTGTGTCTTTGATGAATCTGAATCTTTCCTTCCTTTAGTATATAATCATGTATCCTCAATAAAAAAAAGAAAGGCTTTTAAATGGAGCAACAGCTACACAAAACAAATTGACAAATGGAATTCACACTGGAAGCAATTCAAGACACTCTTTTTCATAATCTTGATATCTTAAAAGCACAGTATTTACCTATTTCTTTATATTCTATGCCCAGAACTTGCACATTTTTCACCTGAGCTGCAACTTCATAGGATGCTCCTTTTGAGGCATTGGCCTCAAAATCTGGTGAATATACTTCAATATTGAAATAAAACAAAATATTCTTTGAATAAAACATGCATTTTCCAGTAAACAAGAAATAAAAACTAAAAATTTAAGAATAAATCAAGATCTTAGTGAGGACGATTTTAAAATGAAAAAGTAAGTCAGAATTTGTAAAACTTCAAACAATATGGGAGACATCTGTCAAATTCTATGTGAACACAGAAATTTAGAAATTTGTAACCCTATCATATTCAGAGATCAATTAAGATTCAGTGGAATACAAGGCCACATAGGACCCTCAACAACAGCATTGAAATGCATCTGTATCCTTTCCTCCATCACATGGATTTTTGTTGCATAGGAACCATACAGCCTTTTCTTCTTCTCCAAGGTCTTTGTCTCACTATCACCTTTTTTATGCATTGTTGAAGTCTTTTGTGTCTCAACTGCTCTCCCTGAGCTTTCTGAAATTAAAAAGGGACAATCCACAAATAAATGAATCACTTCTTCATTGACAGCTAAAGTGTGATGTGTGGTAGAGAATGAATGAAACAGATGTGACAGATCAGGTTAGGATTTGGATCCGAAGTTGAATTGAGTTTTCCAGTCATTCCTCATTTTTTCTCATTTTTACCATCTCTTCATGCACAATTCAGTTTTACATGAATTCCTCTGATATCAATCATATTCATATTAGATCCACCAGATACATTCTCTGCCACATTACCAAAGAAAGAAATCAGAAACCCTTTAAGGAGGGGTCTTTTCAGGCTCATTTTTACTAAGAGAGGAGAAGGGAGGTATATTTCCCAACAAAGATGAGAAGAGTCAGGGAGGCACTCACAAAGGGAGTGACCTCTGCACACACAACTTCTCAATGCATAACCAGTCAAGCAGTTATGATAAATTTTGTCCCTTTGTTAACTCCTTAATGATGGACAGCCTCTACAATGATGGGGTGAACATCTGCAGGGAAAGTGGTCAGTTACTCTGATCTGCAGCACATGGCAAAATACTGTTCATTCCTTGACCTGAAGGGTTTTCAAGACATCTGCTGATGGCACAGCACAAATATTTGAACTTATAGTCCTAAGAACTCCTCTCCTCTTTTAAAATATATTCTCTTTATTCTTTATATTTTTAACAGACATATACAGGAGTAAGTTACCCATGCTCAACTCATTACTGAGGAGCTACACATGCCACAATCCAATGATTATCAGTCGCAACATCACCTACCAGTGCACATCATCTACCTCACAGTCTCCAAGGAATACCTTCTCACCTAATGACACCCACTACACGATATAATCACTGCCTTGGAAATATGGAATGCCCTCTCACTTCACTTAGCCATACAGGAGCCATACATAAAGCCCTGAATAATGCTTTCAACTAGTATCATGACATTGTGAATTCACAGAAGATCCACTATATGGCCACTGTACATCTTCACATTCATCCATTCCACAATATGTTCTTACATTCATCCTAATTTTTCTGTATCCATATCATAACCTTCCATCCTGTCTTATTTCATTCATTTCTCTGACAAACAACCATGGTAAGAAGGTTGCCATATGTCTCACATGGGCACAAGATTGCATGAACATATACATACAATAATAAACTAGACATCTAACCCTTCAGCACTAAACTGAGTAAAAAAACATCACTATTTTCCTAACTTTTACAAATGTCTACTTCAAACCTGACTTAAATTCTTAGCAACCTTATGGTTTACTGGAACTCTTCTGTATGCTCATACAAATAGTCAAGCTCACCATCAATGACAAAAAGAAGAGACAAGCAAATATAAAACATGTTTATTTTGAACAAATCCTGTGGGTTAAAATACCTGAAAAAAACTCACCAGCACGTGGAAATGACTTCAATGATGAAGTTGATGCTGAAGATTTACTGATATATTTATGCTTCCGAGCAGAGTAGCATTCTTCAAAGAGCCTCATCCTCTTCACATATTTGTCTGAATCAGCATCATCATTCACAAACTTGCCTTCAATGTCTCGCATATGCCTCTCTGCACAAGAGAAGGACCAATACATTTAGAGTGATTAGGAAAGAAAGGAGCATGCCATAACTCAAATCAAATTTCTCTTCCTATTGAGCAAGAAATAACATGCAAGTTTATGGCAATAAAAAACAGCAGCAGAGGTCTAACTCTAATATCAACTTTGTTCTGGAATCAATAGAAAGAACAAAGCTAAGTGCTTTATTTAATATTATTAGGCTTGGTGGGTGGACTGAAGTAAATGTGAAATATAGGTAATAATAACACTTCCCCAGATTCTTAATTCTAATGGACAGACAGCATTTTCTTACATCACAGGTAACATACCCTTGTCCATTTTACTTGCTATGAAAGANGTTATGATAAATTTTGTCCCTTTGTTAACTCCTTAATGATGGACAGCCTCTACAATGATGGGGTGAACATCTGCAGGGAAAGTGGTCAGTTACTCTGATCTGCAGCACATGGCAAAATACTGTTCATTCCTTGACCTGAAGGGTTTTCAAGACATCTGCTGATGGCACAGCACAAATATTTGAAATGTCAAGAGTCCTAAGAACTCCTCTCCTCTTTTAAAATATATTCTCTTTATTCTTTATATTTTCAACAGACACATACAGGAGTAAGTTGCCCATGCTCAACTCATTACTGAGGAGCTACACATGCCACAATCCAATGATTATCAGTCGCAACATCACCTACCAGTGCACATCATCTACCTCACAGCCTCCAAGGAATACCTTCTCACCTAATGACACCCACTACACGATATAATCACTGCCTTGGAAATATGGAATGCCCTCTCACTTCACTTAGCCATACATAAAGCCCTGAATAATGCTTTCAACTAGTATCATGACATTGTGAATTCACAGAAGATCCACTATATGGCCACTGTACATCTTCACATTCATCCTAATTTTTCTGTATCCATATCATAACCTTCCATCCTGTCTTATTTCATTCATTTCTCTGACAAACAACCATGGTAAGAAGGTTGCCATATGTCTCACATGGGCACAAGATTGCATGAACATATACATACAATAATAAACTAGACATCTAACCCTTCAGCACTAAACTGAGTAAAAAAACATCACTATTTTCCTAACTTTTACAAATGTCTACTTCAAACCTGACTTAAATTCTTAGCAACCTTATGGTTTACTGGAACTCTTCTGTATGCTCATACAAATAGTCAAGCTCACCATCAATGACAAAAAGAAGAGACAAGCAAATATAAAACATGTTTATTTTGAACAAATCCTGTGGGTTAAAATACCTGAAAAAAACTCACCAGCACGTGGAAATGACTTCAATGATGAAGTTGATGCTGAAGATTTACTGATATATTTATGCTTCCGAGCAGAGTAGCATTCTTCAAAGAGCCTCATCCTCTTCACATACTTGTCTGAATCAGCATCATCATTCACAAACTTGCCTTCAATGTCTCGCATATGCCTCTCTGCACAAGAGAAGGACCAATACATTTAGAGTGATTAGGAAAGAAAGGAGCATGCCATAACTCAAATCAAATTTCTCTTCCTATTGAGCAAGAAATAACATGCAAGTTTATGGCAATAAAAAACAGCAGCAGAGGTCTAACTCTAATATCAACTTTGTTCTGGAATCAATAGAAAGAACAAAGCTAAGTGCTTTATTTAATATTATTAGGCTTGGTGGGTGGACTGAAGTAAATGTGAAATATAGGTAATAATAACACTTCCCCAGATTCTTAATTCTAATGGACAGACAGCATTTTCTTACATCACAGGTAACATACCCTTGTCCATTTTACTTGCTATGAAAGACTCTTGTATAGGGATTGAAAATCTGGGGTTGTCACAATTACCCCCATACATCAACACTTACCCCAGTCCACCACTATTCATCCACAACAAAGGCTGCAAGATGGGTAATTTCAAATATTAGCTTCCTGCAGGAAACTGTAATAGAGCTTCCCAACATAAGAATGTTCAGTACAAGTTGAAGGATCAATTCACCATGTTCAAAATTGACAACTTTTCTAAAAAGAAACAGTGAAATGAAACAACAGCCTCTCCCAAGGGCTTCTATCAGATCTGCCTTAATCAGACTGATATTTCAGGACTGATGAATTTATTGCTTCATGCTGGCTGAATGAAATTTACTGACTTGTGATGAAGGCAACAACTTCTCTGACACTGTGATTAAAAATGCTGTTCATTCCAGTTTCTAACAAGAAGCAAAAACTTTAATCCTTGCACTGATAGTGACCACAGTTTTTGAAGTAGAGGCAAAATGACACCATAGAAAATGTATGACATTCCTTATTCTGATGATACAAGTACAAAGATGTGGAAAAATTAGCATGCTAACTATTTATATGTACTCATTGGCAAGATTTATGGATGATCTGTTCATTTTCACACAATACATATACCATTCTGCTCATCAAGGATAAAACAAACTGTCTCAGCTTAATTAGGTGATGCATAAAAAATGAAATGGTAGGTTCAAGATCTTAAGCAAAAATGTGCCCCAGATGCAGTAAAGGGGAAAATGCTAAACAAAGAGAATCAGGCATGGAAGTTTTATTATAACTGCTAGTCCAAACAGCAAAATCCATAATTGCAAGTGTTAAAGGAAGTGTTAAAGCACTTAAAGGAATGCAAAGGAAGGAAGATAATGACTTACTATGGATCCGCCTATAAATTTCACTTTTTTCAAGGAATTCAATTAGCTTTTCATTGCTGTCATTAGGTACATCACAGGAATCTTTTTGACATCCTTGTCTTGAATGCTCACTGAGCAGAGTCTCCACTGGAACCTATTTAAAGCCATATTTGCCAAGTGGTTCATTGATCAAATAAAAAAAGGAACTATCCTACTCCAAAGTATGCAATGGCCAACATCATCACCCTTCTATGTGCTGATGTTAGACCCATTAACTTCCTTATGGTTATAGAAATGCTCTACCAAGATTTGGAGTTACATGACTCACATATGGCGGGGTACACACAACAGTTATTAAATCAATATATTGATCACCTTGTATTTCTATAGTGTTCACAAGAGGAGAATATTGGATGTGAAAATCATTCACACAGAAAATACTTTTGACTTTTAATTTGCCACCTTTTAACTTCATTTTTATTCCTTTTTTTTTTACAAAAGCATTTCCTATCCAGTGGAGGTAGTACATGCAAATCAATTTCATGGAATCAAACTTTGCAACTTTCACTTCAATTTTCATGGAAGGACATGATGTGGATTCAGTTTCATTTTTCAATTTAACCAAATGGCCTTTATGTATTACAGTGGGTACTAGACAAATTTAGCATGGCTTGCATAGACAACAGTAGGGGAGATGAAAGGCCCCATCATCCTGGATAATGGTTCAATGTAAGCAATGAAGATATCTTTGTATTAATTTTACTGAAAGCATTACTCCTAGAATCCTGGATGGCCAAATGGCACTTCGTTTGACATTTTTTAAAGGTATTTTTTATTATTACAATATTTGGAAACAGAAAGGCATGGATAGGGAATTGAACACTTGATAAATGATGCATGAACACTGTGAACTTTATCATATTACATGAAATTTGGATGATACTCAGGACTTTGGGGTACTTCATTCAGCAGAGGCATAAACTTGAACTTGATTATCCCAATGGTGAAACTTCCCAGCATAAGAATTTACTTTTGGCTGCTGTGCCATGGAAGAAGTATCTTCTTTGTAACTAATGATGATATCCATCAAATCATGGATTAGATTGCAAAAATGGTATCTAATTATTCCAGAGTTTTTCCTCTTTCCTTTTAGAAATAAAATTCCAATTCATAATGTTTCTGAAATCATGATTCTTGATATAGTTCTGCATTTCTATATAACTCACCTCAATATCAGGTCCATTTTCACTCATTTCATCTCAACCAGTCATGTACCTGTACAATCCATCAAGCTGCCAAAAAACCATGAAATTAACTTGACACTATCTAAATGTGTGCTTCTCACAACTGAGGACATCTCTATGCCTATATATTCACACAAAAAGAAAAAGCCTGGAAGTATCAGTACCTAGGAATGTAAGCACAGCAACTAAATATAAGTCTCAATTTCAAAAGATAACTTACAGAAGATTCATAAGCAACCAATGTAATTTATAGAAGCATTCAAAAACTAAAGCATATGGTGGCACAGCTCCTTCATTTTTCAAGTTGCAGCTGTAATGCTGAATGCTTTAACCCCTTAGGTGTTTTTGACATACTATTATGCATATTGTTCATGTATGCCAGTAGCTTTTTTCTATTGTAATATTATTAATACATGTCTCTAACATTGCCTTATTAATATATTTTTTGCTGCATAATCTTATACTTTGTTGGGTGCTTGGTTATGGTACATTTTGTATACCAGTGCACAAACACATTTTATTCAAAAACTGTATAATAGAGCAGTGGTTCTTGAGCTTTTTATGTTGTGACCCATCGAGCCCTCTTCCCATATTTATGACCCACAAATTTAGAAGCATCCAAAAATAAAGCAAATATGTGACATGCAAAAAAATAGGAATTTTTACATACAGAAATTACGTTTTTGATATATTGCTCTGGGTAGATAGTTCCTTCATTATTCCTTTCAGGTTTCCTAACCTCTTCAAGCTTCCTTTGCATGAACTTGGCTGGTTCATCCTTCAATTTTGAGTGATTTTGATCTAAATGCCACCTCAATTTTGAAGGTCATGGATGCATTGGCCAGTAGTTCACCACAAATGATGCATTCTGCTTTCATATGTTGACAATGAAACCACTGAGTGTAGAAATCATTATGCTTCAGGGTTTCACTTTTTTGTTGGAGGAAAGCTGACTTCTGTCCCAATGACTTCACCAGGATGCTACCATTAGTACATAGCAAAGCAAGAACATATAGTGAGGTACATACATTGTATGTTATGAGGTACAAATGTATGTCATAAAATACCTTAATTTAAAAAGTACCAAAGCAAAATAAGGTGCATGTGTGCCATTCTTATCTCTACTCAGAAGGTACAGATGGGGTCTTTTCTTTAGGATCTCATGTTTACCATGTTTCAGGCTTAAGGGAATTTGAAAATCGTATGAACCTCAATTTTCAGCTTTGACGTGAGCTATAGTTACAATGTCATTCAGCACCATGTCTCCTGACAATCATCAAACTGTAACAAATAAGATGGTGTGGCTTGGCAAGGTCTCCACGATGCAACAGGATGTACTGACTGTCTCATAAATAGCGTGTCAGTTTACACTACACTGTCCTCATGCAAAATCCCAGCATTAAAAATTTTTCAGAATCACTGATTGCCATTGAAACATGATAATTACACTTTTCCCAAATACTACTTTACAAGTATCATGATGAGATGAATACAGAGAAAGGACGAAAACTCTTCTCCTAAGGTCCAGTACATCCTGACTCAAGTTCAAACATATATGCCATCTTATGCCTATTTTGAATATTGTATTGGGAACCCTGACATCTGCACCTGCAACATACCCAGGTGTATGTCTAGACCACATCCTCACAAAGGTGTATACACAGGTATGTATGTGGACCTGAAGGGCACAAATGTGTACATCTCACATTTGTACCTCTCCATGTACGTTTCTACTTTGCTGTGTATCAGCGCACTCAGTTTAATCAGGAAATGATCCACCTGCAAAACAATGTTCAACCTAAATAAGTAACTACAGGAAATTATGGATGATGTGAATTTTGTAAACTTCCTCCTTCAAAATAATAGAGAAGGAAATGTATCAGTTGGTAACAGAGAAACAAAATCAAGAAAATAAACTTCAGCTTCTGCCTACAAAATCACCCACACTAACAGCAACAAAGAACTGGTGAGAATGCTGGAAAGAACAAGAACTAGAGATGAATGTGAAGAGCACTAATGATTAAAAAGACATTTTACAATAATTTCCCTTTCTTGGAATTGTCAGGAAATCCCTGTGCTATCTGATCTGGATGAGTAGATTAGATCATTCTTGGAAAGTTTAGCTCATGCAATATTGCCCTGTAGTTTAGTTTGGTGTTTATGATTCATCCATTGTCTTCTCTAACCCCACCCTAATTCTCTTTATATTTTATTTTTAGTTCACCTTATTCTCTCGTAACCCACCTGGTAGACCATCGTGACCCACTAGTGGGTCACAACCCACCAGTTGAGAGCCACTGTCATAGAGTGTAGATATGGCTACTGGAATTGTAACACTTTAGTGGTTAATAAATATTTTCCCTCTGTACCTACATAACCTTTTAGCCTTGTATCCAATGCTATTGTTTTATAGAATTTTCAATAAGCACAGTTTGTCGAATTGAATGTGGCTAATAAGAACAAAGGGGCTATACCTCTCATATTTGTTACACCCACCTAAAACTTCACGCTGAAAAGCAGCCCCTCCATGAATTTCTTCAAATGACTTCTGAATTTTGGCAGCAATATCGCCTTCATGAGTAAAAAGCTTAACGAGAGCCCTTTGTTTTTCCTTATGAAAATGAGTTATATTGAATCTGTTGATTCACCCACCTGCACTGAAAAGTCAGTTTTAAAAAAATTAATGAAATTAAATATAAAGCTGAAATTCCATATAAATGTTGAAGAACCATAACAATTAGAGCATTCAGTATTACAGTGCTGCTCCTGGAAAAATAAAGGAGCTGTGCCAAAAATGATCACTACCTTCCAATTGTACCCTATATAAGCCAAGTTTACCAATAGGGCACCATCTGAGAATCCATAAGCAAGATACAAGTGGATTTTCAGATTAC